CTTATAAAATAATAATAATAATAATAATAATAATAATAATAATAATAATAATAATAATAATAATAATAATTTTTTATTTTTTGGTAAACCTACGATAAATAAAACAAAAAAATTTTGACTCTGTTTTTTTTTTCTTTTCTTTATTTTTACGACAGCAAAAACAGTTTTTTTTTTTTTTTTTACTTTAGCAGCATCCGTTTAATTTTTTGCTATTATTCAATTTCTATTTAATAATTTTCTTTCGTGTCGGTTATTTGATTTTAGCAAATTTTAATAAAATTGAATAAATAAATAAAAATAAATAAATAAATCAAAATTAAAATTTTATTATGTATTTTTTTTTCTTTTCTTTTTTCTCTCTCTCTCGCTCTCTCTTACAATAACTAATAATAAATTATAATTTATATTACTAAAAAATAAATTGATAATAATAATAATAATAATGATAATGATAATAATGATATTTAGCTCATGGGTTTTAAGTTTTTACTTTAAATTGATTTTTTATTATGTGCTCTCACTTTTTTTTCTTTTTTTTTTCACAAAATGTGGCAATTACTTTAAAATAATAATAATAATAATAATAATAATAATAATAATAATAATAATAATAATAATAATAATAATAATAATAATAATAATAATAATAATAATAATAATAATAATTGTGTGTAAAATTTTATAAACCGATTACAATTTCAAAAAATAATAATGATGATGGTGATGATAAATATAAAATCAAGTTTTTCTAAAAAAAAAAAAAAAAAAATTTATTATTTATTTTTTTATTAATTTTGGTTTCCGGGGATTTTCTTGTCAGATAATTAATTAAAAAAAAAAAAAAATTTTTTTTTTTTTCGGCATTTATGTGGTGTTTACCTATCGTGACAAATTAATTTAATTAATTAAATATTTATTTTAAAAAAAAAAGAAAAATCGGGTTTACGGATGCATCCCAAATTTCTGTTTTTCCCAATTAAAAAAAAAATTTTCCAATTAAAACAAAAAAGGAAAATTTTTATTATTTGAAAAAAAAACAAAAGTAAATAATTTATACACATAAATAATAATAAATGTGTGTGTGTGTGTGTGCGTGCGTGTGTATTTCCTTCTTCTTCTTTTTAAAA